CTCCCCCGCCAGCCGCGCGCCCGGCCGCCCTCCCCACCTGTCGCTGAAGGAGGGCACAAAGGCGACGCGCTCCTCCAGCCCCAGCGACCTGGCTTGGTGCTGCAGCTCCCGAAGGTGGTCCCGGTTTTCGGCCAGCCGCGCGTCATAGCCGCCTGGCGGGCGGCAGGGTGTGGGGGCCGGGGTGGGGGTGAGGTTGGATGTCAGGGGTCGGGGTGCGGGTTGGCAGGGTGGCAGGGAGGCTTTTGGGGTTCCGAAAGGAGGGGACGGGTGGGAATGCGGCGCAGCGGGCGGCTGTGGGTGGTAGGGGGCGGCGGCTCAATCGCGTGGGTTGGCCGGCGCTGAGGTCACCCTGCCCGGCCTCGAAGCTGGCGGCGCGCCGCAGACTTGCGCGCGCCGGTCGCGTCGGCCGGCCTGCCCTCAAGCGCCGCCTCAGCAACTCCCTCGGCACCCGAGCGCCGCCGGCGGCCCGCCGCGCACCTGCGATGATGAGCCGCGCGTTGCAGGAGGGGCGCCGCTGCAGCAGCTCGTGCAGCGCCTGCAGCGCCAGCCCGATCCCTTTCTTCCGTTCGAACCTGCAGGACGTTGCGGGGACAACAGAGAGCGAGCGAGAAGGGGCGAGGGTATGGAGCTGGCATGCGCACAAATGGCGGTTTTTGCAGCGCTGCTCCACAGGCCAACAGCCAGCTGATGGGGCCATGCGTGCGCCCCTTCCAGCCACGGCCGCGGTTGTGTGCCGCAGCCCGATAGGCCGCGCAAAGACCTTCAGCTGCTGCGAGCCGCCTGCCAGGCCTGCTTTGCCCTGCACAGCACGCCAGCCCAACGGCCGACCGCGCGCCGCTGCAAAGCCACGCGGGCGCTGCCTCCCGCCTCGCCCCGCTGCTGCGTCGCACGGCATTGGCCCTATCTCCTATCGGGACCAACTGGCCGACCGAGCGACGCCACCCCTGCCCCCGAACTAGCCCTCCGCACACACACCTATTAATAGATAGGAAGGCCGGCCCGCCGCGTATGAGCTCTACCAGCTCTCCCTCCAGCTCCCCCTCCCACGCGCCCGCCGCCTCCTGCAGCTGCGCCTCGGGCGGCACGACCACCGCGGGGTGCAGCACCGCCGGCGCGACGCCGCGCGCGGCGATGCGCTCAAAGGTAGCTGCGAACACGCCGGCGGTGAAGCGGCTGTTGACGAGGATCAGGTCGGACGAGCCCGTCGACCACTGCTCGAGCGCGTCGAGCGGCGCGCGGTAGAGGGACTTGAGGAGGGAGGCGCGGTGGGTGAGCAGCAGATCCGGGAAGTGGCAGTAGAAAAGGACGCGGCTGTTGGTGAGGAGGAACTTGAGGACAGGCACCGTCGCGGCGACCTGGTCGACGATGACTACGTCATAGGGCGGCGCCGCGCCTGCGTAGACGCGCCACGCGACGTAGAGCGCGGCGAGCGCGCAGCGGACGACGGCGCAGAGCGCGTGCAGGCGGCCGAGCACGTGGCGCGGGAACCAGCCGCCCGCGACAAGGACGGAGAAGGCGCCGGTGCGGGTCTCGTCGAAGCAGCGGTTGGGGTCGTAGTACGCGGTGTACATGTCGACCACATGGCCGCGCGCCGCGAGCTCGGCGGCAGCGTCCACGACGAGGCGCTCGGCGCCGCCCAGGCCCAGGTCAGGGTGCACAAATGCGATGCGCAGCGGCCGGTGCTCTAAATGGCGCTGTACCGCCGCAGCGTTGCGCGACGGCATGGCCTAAACTAGATGGCACCTACTCGAGCCCTCAGGGCCGGCGCAGCAGGGGGTGGGCGGTGTCGAGAAGCGCTGTGAGATCACAACAGGACAGGTTGCTGGCTTGCGTGATCGTGTTAAGTGAATGGCATGTGTTCAATTTGTGTCACTAAGATGCATGTGCGCATGCCATTGTGGTAAGACGTGTGCTGGGCAGGCTCCTTCAACACGGTCCGAGCAGCTGAGGTCTGAAAGAGCAGCATGCAGCAGCCGTCCTGTGCAAACAATGTGCCTGACGTAATCTGCGATAAAGCTTTAATAATATGTCTTGTGTTCATGCTCACTTCGATTCGAGGGAGGCAGATCGCTTCCGGTGATCGATTGCTTAGCTACGCTACTTGCATAGCCTCAACGAGCTCTTCAAGCACTGTGAACAGCTATTTATTCCGTATAATGCAGCACCACTGACCCCTGCCGTCCCCGCACACCATCAGCAGCGGCACACAGCACTGCTGAGCAGTGGTGCAGCGAAGCAGCAGGAAAGCGCCGCCGCCGCCGGCGACAAGCCGCGCAGCAGCGGCGCACCAGCACCCGGAATGGCAGACCGGTCACAGCATCGCAGCGAGAGTCGCGGCAGGGACGATCGTCGCAGCGACAGCCGGGGGCGCGATTCGCGGGACGGCGGGGAGCGAGAGCGAGACCGCGACCGCGAGCGTGACCGCGGCGGCGGCGGCGGCAGCGGCGAGCGGGTGCGCCGGGACGCTCGAGACCGGGACGGCAGCCGCGACGGCGGCGTGCAGGACGGCAGGCGGGAGCGGGCGCCCGAGGGCGAGCGCGAGCGGGAGCGGCGGCGGCCGGCGGGGGGCGACGGCAGCAGCGCCGGCGGCGGCGGCGGCAGCGGCAGCGCGCAGCCGCGGCCGGCGTCGGCGGGCAAGCAGCTGACTCCGACCAAGGTGGGCGGTTGGAGCCACGGCTTGCTTGGTGCACTAGCTTTGGCAAGGGCTTCGCGTGGCGCACTGCTTTTCCGGGCCATCAGCCGCGCTTGCTTGCTTCGCCGCTTTGGCAGGTGCAATTTCAAGACGACTGCGCTGCAGCGCACGAGCCTGTGGCCCCCCTTCCGATTCGCCACGCCACTCCCACCTGCCGCCCGCCCATGCAGCCCCCCGTGCCCGGGGGCGCGGCCGCCCGCAGCAGCGCCGGCGGCGGCGGCGCCGGCCCGGCCGCGCTGTTTGGCGGGGCGGGCGTGTCGAACCTCCTAAAATCGGCGATCGAAGACGCGCGCCGCCGCGCCGCGCGGCAGGACGGCGGCGGGAGCAGCCCAGAGGAGGGCGAAGCGGCGGACGGGGACGGCGGCGGCGGCGACGGCGCGCCCGGCGCCAAGCGGCGGCGGCACAGCCCCATAACGTGGGCCTCCCCCAAGCGGCGGGCCGGGGAGAGTGCGCACGACGGCGCCAGGTGGGCAGCCCCTCTGTCCCGTGTTGGCTGCAGCTGCCCCCCGCCTCAGGGGCTGCGGCCGGCACCCCCTCCGGCTGCGGGGCTGATAGACATGTGCTCGGGGCCGCTGGGTCTTGCCATTCCAACGGCATTGCTTTGCCCTCGCTGCCGCCGGTGACAAGTCACTCGTTTTCAGATGCGGTGCAGCCGGTGGACTGCTCGCGTTCCTGGGTGCATGAGACGCCGCCCCGACGCGCACACCCCCGGCGCCCCACCCCCGGCGCGCCGGCCCGTGCCCGCCACCAAATACCCCTCTGCCCGATGCGCGTTGCGTCAACGCAGGCCGCCGCGACGCCCACCCAGCACCGAGGGCCTGTCTCTGCGGGACCGAGTGGCAGCGGAGGCGGCGGAGTTCAGGCGGTTGCAGGGCGAGGCAGCGGCGGATGATGACGACGGCGGCGAGGTGCCCCTCAAGTCATCCCCGTCGCTGGATGACATCGAGCATGACTACGGCGGCGACGACGACGACGCGGCGGCGAGCCAGCCGCCGTCGACGCGGCGGGGGAACAGGGGCACGGACGAGCGGCGGCCGGCTGGGAGCGAGGAGGTGGCTGGGGACGGCGGTGGCGGCGGCGGCGGGAAGCGCAGCAGGTGGCTGATAGAAGACGAGGAAGAGGGCGGGGGCGGCAAGGCGCGGCCGGGCGGTGGGGCCCAGGCAACGGGGCGGCGCGGCGGCGGGGCGGAGGAGGGGGAGGCGGCCGGGGACGACGAGGATGAGATCATGCGGGAGCTCAACAGGTGGGGGCTGGGAGTCGGAGGGGCACGCAATTGAAGACGGGCAGCCTGTCCCTGGGGGGGGGGCGCCCAGGCTGTGTCTTGGGTGGGGCTGGGTGTCATGGGCGGTGCAGCTCTGGAGCTGGGAGGCGCGGTCAGGGTTCGCACCTTGCAAAGGGGCGCATCCAGGGTTCAGTTTGGCGGCGCTGCCCACCACGCCTTCCCTTATGCCTTGTTTGGCCACCCACTAAAACAACCCATTTGACAAACTGCAATCGCACATGCATCCGCATCAAGGCGCGAACGAGAGGAGCTTGAGCGCGGCGGCGGCGGCGGCGGCGGCGGCAACGCGAGCGGCGCCTCGACCCCCGGCAGCGAGACCCCCGGCCGCGCCGGCCCCGGCGCCCTCACGCCCGGCCGCGCCGGCAACGGCGACGCGGCGGCGCTGCTGGGCGGCGCGGGGGCGCCGAGCGAGATCGAGCGGGAGCTGGAGGGGCGGCCGTTTGAGAAGAGCATGCTGGAGGAGTGCCGCAGCGTGGAGGAGTATGAGAAGCTCAACAGGATCTCAGGTGGGTGATCTCGGTGATCTCGGTGATCTCAGTGATCTCGCTGCCTCTTGTGATGCAAGCGAGGAATTTGACCTGGGGGAGGGAGGGGGCTCGCCAGAAGATGTGTGAAATCGGACCGTGGCGTGGCGGCAACACGATCCAGCGGCCTGCACCTGCGGTGGTCAAACGTGTCTTCCGCGGCTGCCCCTTGCGCACGCACACCCCGCCCCCCCCCCCCCCCACACAC